AATATAAACAGACAAACATCTATCTGAAGAAACAATATCCATTTGCAGTGCACTTACGCTCACAGTTCCTTGACTAACCACAAACAGAAACAAACTAACATCCTGGAAAAAGAGTCCTCACACCAGGAAAGGGTGTCTACTTCGCAGCCAAAATTGGGAAAGGAGTACAACAAGACTGTATATTTCTTATTTAACTTATATGCAGAATACATCATGCGAAAGGCCGGACTAGAGGGATCCCAAGCTGGAATTCAGATTGCCGGAAGAAATATCAACAACATCAGATATGCAGATGATGCCACTCTGATGGCAGAAAGTGAGTAGGAATTAAAGAACCTCTTAATGAGGGTGAAAGAGGAGAGCGTAAAAATGGCTTGAAGCTCAACATCAAAAAAACTAAGATCATCGCCACTGGTCCCATCACCTCCTGGCAAATAGATCACCTTGCCAACAAAAATCCGAATAGTCAAAGCTATGGTTTTTCCTGTAGTGATATATGGAAGTGAGAGCTGCACCATAAAGAAAGCTGACCGCCAAAGAATTGATGCTTTTGAATTGTGATGCTGGAGGAGGCTCTTGAAAGTCCCCTGGACTGCAAGGAGAACAAACCTATCCATTTTAAAGGAAATCAAGCCTGAGTGCTCACTGGAAGGACAGATCCTGAAGCTGAGGCTCCAATACTTTCGGCATCTCATGAGAAAATAAATTTCCCTGGAAAATATCCTGACATTGGGAAAATGTGAAGGCAAGAGGAGAAGGGGACGACAGAGGACGAGATGGATGGACAGGGTCGTGGAAGCGACCAAGATGAATTTGACCCAACTCCAGGAGGCAGTGGAAGACAGGAGGGCCTGGCTTGCTCTGGTCCATGGGGTCACAAATGGCTGAACAGGACTTAACAACTAAACAACAACAAAAATGACCACATGAAGGGCATGGGAATAGCTTCTTTATTATCTCCCCCCCCAAAAAAAAACACATACTAATGAGGCAAAGATGCATATACCTAGTTTTTGCAACTTCTTCATTCACCGCCTGCAAGACACACATAATCCAAGGAGATACAGTCTCTTATTGTCTGACCCTCTTATGCCCTCCCAAATAAAACACAGCAGGGTAGTTCTTTCATTTGTTGTCTAGTCGTTAAGTTGGAGTTAAGTCATGTCCAACTCTTCGTGACCCCATGCACCACAACAGACCAGGCCCTCCTGTCTTCCACTGCCTCCCAAATTTGGATCAAATTCATGTTGGTTGCCTCGATGGCCCTGTCCTACCATCTCCTCCTCGGTCGTCCCCTTCTCCTCTTGCCTTCCCACTTTCCCAACATCAGGGTCTTTTCCAGGGAGTCTTCTCTTCTCATGAGATGGCCAAAGGATTGGAGCCTCAGCTTCAGGATCTGTCCTTCCAGTGAGCATTCAGGCTTGATTTCCTTCAGAATGGAGAGGTTTGTTCTCCTTGCAGTCCAGGGGACTCTCAAGAGCCTCCTCCAGCACCACAATTCAAAAGGAGATTCTTTCATTAACTGACTGCAAACACATGGGGGGGGGGCAAGGCAGGCATGTGGCTTTACTTTCTGCTCCACACATCAAACAGAGAAGTGTCTTCCTTCTCCCTACATATAGGTACACACAAACAGGCCCTGGAGTGTTCCTGAATGTTAAGCAAAGAAAAAGTGAAGAAAAGGGGAAACTGAACCACCTGGGGTCCCTTTCCTCCACCACCACCAAGCACCCTGTATTTTTTTTTGCGCCATGTATTATTATTTTCCGTAAAGTGACCCAAGTGCCCTATTTTGGAACCTCCTGGTTTCCCTTCTATTCTAAGCCCCCTGGTGCCCCTTCCCTTTTGCAAGCCGCCTGGGCTCTTTATCCTTCCCCCCCCAAAGCTTCCTGGGAGTCCCTTCCTTTCTCTGCTGCTTGGTATCCCCCTCCTTTACTTGCTAAGCTTCCGAGAACCCCTTCCCTTTTGCAAGCCGCCTGGCGTCCCTCCGCCCATCCCCTGCAAGCATGGGGAGGGGGGGATTTTCTGACACCTACTCCAGCAACCCCCTCCATTTCCTTGATAAGTTCTTCCCCTGTCCCACTTCTCTCTTCCCCCCCCTTCCTTTCTCTGCTGCTTGGTATCCCCCTCCTTTACTTGCTAAGCTTCCGAGAACCCCTTCCCTTTTGCAAGCCGCCTGGCGTCCCTCCGCCCATCCCCTGCAAGCATGGGGAGGGGGGGATTTTCTGACACCTACTCCAGCAACCCCCTCCATTTCCTTGATAAGTTCTTCCCCTGTCCCACTTCTCTCTTCCCCCCCCTTCCCTCTCCTCTCTTTNTGAAGGAAGAGAGCGAGGGAAGGGAGGGAAGGCTCACCGAGGGTGAAGAAGGGCAGCTCGGTGTTGTCCAGGTCGTCCTGCACCGCCACCCGCCCGGGCACCTCGCTCCGCACGAAGAGCAGCAGCCGCGAGTCTCCCCCATGGGATCCCGACGACGACGAGG